ACGACATCCTATGACCTTGTCGATGGGTATCTCAAACTACCCATCCTCAATGCCCCTCGGCCTAAAGGCCAAAAAGGCTCTCCCTGTGTTTCAGCTTGTGCCGCCCTCGAGCACCGATGTGCTCTCTTGAAAATTGTGACCGTGCCAATGTTCAACATCTCTTGGCGCATGCTGAAAACTTTATCCCAAACGGGGCCAGGGATGGTGGCCTGCGTCTGGTGTTGTTGGAAGCTCCGTTTGGAATCCATCGCCATGATAACTAGTGCATTTGCCGTTCGATTGAAAGTTCGTATATGGTGGGTCCAGGCAGTGACCGTGAGTTGTTCTGCAAGCCGCCGAATTTTCCAGTAGCTCGCTCGCAGGTGCTTTGCACGCGGGGTTGTTCGAGAGATGTGTTGCCTGATAATCAGTTTACTGTCCTCTATGACATGTACCGGGGTCCATCGGCGCTGTGCGCATTCCTTGAGCCCAGGTAGAGCCCCATGTTCGCAGCTAAATTGGTTGTCATCGTCTTGGCTGCCAAAGAAATACTGCTAATCCAAAGTACCGCATGCCCTATCACATGCGCGCCCACTTCCACCACCATCGACCCACATCCACCGGTGCCTGGGTTGCCATCGGAGCTTCCACAAAAAACAGCAGGAATTGTGACGTTCCGTGTGGTCGGAAATTCCGATATTGTTCAGGATGTGCCGAGGACAGATACTTGTAGAAAATCGAAGCCAGCGCGCTGGTTAAGACTGAACCTAGGCCATATCCTGTCCGGAAAACCACTGTTTGGTAACCACGTCTCAGACGGGTCCTGAGCCCTGCACTCCGGTAGGGTGCAGTGATGTCATTGTGTGCGTCAAAGTGACTGACCCTCCAGCGCCAGACGGCATGGAAGTACAGCGCAACTCCAATTCTCCAACGATTCTCCGCTGCAGTCGTGATAGCAGCAGTGAGCCGCTCTCGGAGTCCTGCGCTGAGGAAAGGGTAGAGGGTGTCCGCCAATTTTCCCATTTCCGGGGGTAACACGGGTAGTACTAAACTGAAAAAAAGCTTGTTCTAGCTTAGTGTCCTCGATAGCGTGGAGATGCCAATCGTCCATAAATTGTTTCCGCAGTATACTGGCAGCTGGACATGTCCAGAATACGTGATACACCGTGATGTCCGTTACTCGAAGGCAACTAAGGTGAGGGCACCGCATCGTTGCCGATGTAGGGTCGTACATCGAGAAGGCATGTAGTTTCAGCCGTAATAGAAGTTGTTCTCCCCAGGGATTCAGCGCTACGATTCGACGGATTTGCGAGAAGTCCATCTCTTCCAGGCCGGCAGCAGCAGGAGCGCTATGGATTTCCACTTCTGGTGGCGTCGTGCAATGCTGGAGGTCCCCTTGGCTTCTGTGGATTTCAGTAGTGCAGACCTGTAGAAGGTTCTGGACAGTTTGACTCGACCATCGTTCTTTCGGAGGCATACCAGTCGGGTTACCCTGGGGTGGGGATGTATCCCGAGGAGCTGAGCATCCGGCCTGATGATCTGTGGAACGGCAGCGACTAATTCTCGGTGTGAGTTGACTGGAATGTGTACCGGCAAGGAGACAGCGTCCGCCGTGGAGAGAGCCACCGGTTGGCCTATCCTGTTCATCCGGACTTGGAAAGGATGATCTAGTGGGAGAGCATCAAGCCGAAGGGAGTCGTTGGCGTGGCCAGTATAGAGCAGGAGGGGAAAGTTGGTGACCAATACGACGACCAGCCGACGGAGTTGGGCTACTACTCCAGGGTTACAGTCCGCTTGCGTCCGTAGCGGCGTGAATGATGCGCCCTGCTCCAAGCCGTCTCTAGTGGATGCTGCCCCGGAGTCTATAACCGTTCCCAAGGATACGAGAGAAGTCCCGAGCTGTAGAGATTCTCCCCTGTACGCCATCGTATAGCCGTAGGTCACAGGAGACAAGATATGGCAACCATTCTGTGCATACCGTTCCACACCCTTCCTTATCGTTGGTTAAGTAACTACGATGTACCGAACCTAGTAGAGCTGCGTCGTCCACCAATAGGTGCCTCTCATCCCAGGAGAAGGAAAGACCCTCAAATGCTACCGCGAGGAGTGTCAATGCAGTCACCATCTCTTCTCTGTCCTTGGACCGCTCATGGAGCCCTACCTTGGTTATCACCTCCCGTCCAGTGTCCCACAGATTAGCCTTCCAAGCTAACTTGAGTTGGGGGGGGGGGGAAGCAAATTCCATCGGATCCACATACACCTTCGGGCCCCTAGAGCCGCCGGAGTACTGGAGAACATCGCCGACGACGTGATCTGCAGTTGTACCATCCCGAGCCCATGATGCCACGACTGTGGCCGCTAGCGCCATGAGCTCTTTGCAGAGGAGTGGAGCGCCTAGACCACATTTGGACCGTGACATCGCAGCTAAATCCGCATCTATCCACGCCTTGTTTCTGAGAACGTCACACGTAAATGCGCCAGACCAGATGAAATTTTTAATCATTCGCTCCAGCCGGTGAACTGTGCCAGTGGACGGCCGCGCGTGCTGGCCGATATATAGGAGCTTGGGTATGATGATGGCAACAGCAACTTGACAGCGCCGATCCACTGTCAGTAGCTTTCGATAGGCCAGTGTTAGCCTTACTTGTAGCTGCTGTTCCGCCTTCACCCACGAGAAATCGGGATCGGTCTGACTCGCTACATAGATCCCGAGATAGCGCCCGTGTTCACCCCTCTCCTTGTAGTGTAATGCGGTTGGTAGAGGTGAGCAGTTAACGTGTCCCCTTGGATTCGGTGCTATCACCATGGTCTTGTCCTGATTGGGTTGAAGCCCAGATGCGGTCCCAAAGGCTTCAAGAACTGTGAGCAACTTGGACATTGGAGTAGCGGACTGTAGAAAGATGGCCGTATCATCGGCGTACACGGAAACTCGGAGATCAAATATTCCCCATCAGATTTGAGAATAACCTCTTGTAACTCAGGATGGTTGTGTATAGCTCCGTACAGAGCATTAATTGCCGAGTCAAAAAGCATCGGCGCCATCGGGCACCCTTGCCTGATTCCGGTGGTGATGGACACGTGATTCGACTGGTGGCCGTTGACCAGGAACTTGGCACGTGTTCCCTGGTGAAGTGCCGTGATCGCCGATACAAAACGTGACGGATTACTGTGCTGCTGTAGCGCCCTGATAAGGAATTCCCTAGAGAGCGAGTCATAAGCCTTTTGGAAGTCCAGCATCATCGCGATGGACCCACTGTTGCGTCCACCTGATGTAGCCCGGCGTTGAGCGGCTTCAAACCTACGTAGTGCCTCTTGGATGGTCCGACCTGGTACAAACCCTGCTTGATGTTCGTGGATGCGACTGGGAAGTGTTGTTCTCAGACGGTAGGCTAGCACTCTGGCGAAGATTTTGTAGTCGGTGTTCAGCAGAGCAATAGGCCTGTAATCTAGCGGATTTCTTAGATCCCCTCCTTGTTAGGCAAAATATTTCTGCCTCCAGAAAGGAGGAGGGATAGCTGACATTCCGATACCATCGATTGATCAGAAGAGTCAGAAGAGGAACAAGTGACTTCGCATAAGCTCGATACCAGTCATTGCTGAGGTGATCCGGACCTGCTGCTTTTCCGAGTTTACAGGCGTGGAGGGCAGCTTCAACTTCGCTCGGAGTAATCTCCTCATCCATCATTAGTTGTCCTGCCTCCTGGACGTCCGGCTTCGAAATCCAGCTCACAACAGCATCCAATTAAGCATCTGCTTGACGGTGTTGCTGAAGTATCGGTCTCCATGCATGTGCAAAGGCCTCAGCCATCTCCTGTTCTTCGGTGACAGTGATGCCTCCACCAGTATCCAGTGCACCTATTGAATTGTCATCGTATTTGCAGGAGATCCGTTTAAAGAAAGCTTTGATGGTCTTCCCGTCCTGGTGAGTCGCCACCATGAAGAGCCGTTTTTGGGAGTATAGAGATTTTTCACGTTTGCAATCAGCTATCGCCCTCCGAACGCGTGCAAATGCCGAAGTCCCTGTGAAATTCTGTAGGGACAATGCAGCCATCCCGTCCGTAATGGAGCTCTGTGATCTGTGTGGACTGCTGGATCCACCACCTCGGTCCTGTCGATCCATCTCGCAAGTAGTGGACCCACATACCACCTATCCAGCCTCGATGAGGTTTCTCTTCCGTTCGTCAATGGTAATGATAAGTGGTGATGTCGGCGCAGTTCACCTGACGTCCAGTCCTGCGGACGTTCAATCGCAACCGAGGCGACGAGCCTCCATATTGCTAGAAGTGCTTTCAACGCGGGGGAGTTATGCGAGGAACTAGTAGAGGTGTAACTGCGATCTGCCACTGCGTCCAGAGTACAATTGAAATCCCCGCCAACAACGAACAAAGCTCCACATGGTATCTCCAAATCTCCCAGGGAACGGTAAAATTGCTCTCGATCTCGAGGGCGATGCGGTGTATATATATTGAACACCACGATGCACTTTCCTTTGTAGAATCCTTGTACTGCCATGAAATGCGGAGGCCACCTGGTAGGATATATAGGTGTCACGTCCTGCAGCTGGCCATATGGGTTAATCAATACTGCCACCCCTGCTTTTTTGTCTCTGGCTGGTGCCCAATGCGAGTATAACGAGGCACCGTGTCCAGTCCGGAAACCCCAGCCTGCCCCGTGTGGATTGGAGAAATAGTCTACGTCTTTGGGATCCACGTGTGTCTCCTGAAGTAAGTAGAAGCCAGCCACCTGCTCGTGTATTGCGGCCCGAAAAGAGCGCATCCAAGCATCTCTGTCCGTCTCTGTGGTCCCAAAACCATTGACGTTCTGGGTGACTCCACCGAGCGTATGAGTGCTCCTTTGGCTGCATCTGCTGCCCGTCGCCTTAGCCTCTTCCTGTCAGCTTCTCGTTCCTATGTTTCCCGGTCCTGCCTCCGACGTTTATTGAAGGTTCTGAAACGAGCCCTTGTTTGTTGAAAATGATCTCGGCCCGACGCCAGTGGGAAAAAGTCCCCTAGAGTGGGCAGGCAGCATCGTCTCCGTTTCGTCGTGTAGTTGCACACCTTGCTGCCATCCAGCGGCTCTGTGCTGTCTCCAAGTGGAGACTCACCCTCGTAGTTCCGCACGCGTAGGGTCTCCGGGGTAAAAAGGCACTGGGTGCCTTTATTTGCGCAATGGGAGAGCCGGCAGGGACATGTCAGTCCCTGACTATTCCTCCCAGGTGAGCCCAGTTTGCAGCCCAACAACACTGCTCCAATTTTTGGCTGCAACCGCTTGACACATGCCTCGTACGGTTGGGTATGAGTCGTACCAAATGCTTAACGCACCGAGTGGGGCCCGCCCCATGGTGGAGAATCTCCATTGTCGTACAACATGTGGAAGCAGATGCAATATTGCCTGTCCACTCCGTGTCCGAGATATGACCCGGTTGCCCCTACAGATAAGGTGCGCTTACCCACTGACTGAGTTCCTCCCATGTTCGTCTCGCGGCAGGACCCGTGAAATACGTCTCGTCCTGCTTTAAAACCTCCAGGAGACTCTGACAGTATGTCTGCGCCTCTTGCGGCCACATCGGGTCGTTCGCTATCCTGGCCACCGCGTCTCTCTGTGCTGTGAATGCTTCCAGTTGGCCCCACTGGAGGATGCGATCCATTGCTGTCTGTTTGGCCACCAATTCCGGATAAGGTAGGTGTTCGAAGAGGTGTCTGACCGCTTGCAACGAGTCCATAGTCGCCATGATCATCGGGACGGACACGTCAAGCAAGGACATCCTGGGAATACCATAGGTGGCGCGCTCAGCCCGGTACCACTGTTCCAGAGCCTTCCGATTGAGTGACTCACGTCGGTAATTATATTGTGTCTAGTGGAGAGTGTAACGTGTCCGTTCACTGCGAAACTCGTCGCTAGGCCCGTCAACGCAAATGCTGCGGGGCCCTGCTTCGTAGGTACCTCGCGCAGATTTGCTACGGCTACGCTCCTCGCACCCGTTCACTATCGAAATCGTGCGTTAGTCCAAGGTAGTTATGCGTTGAGATTTTAGGACACTTTTTGATGTTTTTGGACACTTTTGGACAAGCCTAGGAAAACCTGGGAAATTACTAAATAAACCTTTTACGCCCCTAATTCGGTATTTTTTGGACAATTTGGATAGATTTGGAAAGATTTTGGACAGAATATATCTTTCCCTGTAGCGTTCCCAACATCTACTGAGCATGTTGGTAGATATGTTCTCGATTTACAAATGGGATAGAGGTACGTTTGGATGAGGATCAGCCTCCGATGATCAAGTGTAGTCACCGGATAGATATCCCTATAGCGCGAGTATCGTGGATCCACAATACTGGAGCTAGTAGGTCATGGTTTTTTAAAAAATTCTTTATATCAGGATTCTAATAGTACCCTAGGTCGAACAATCCCCTTGTACCCGATTGCAAAAATTGGATCTCTACTGACAGACACGAGGCGGGCCTGTATCAACACCCAGATCTTGAAGAAAAGCCTCGAATTCCTCTTATGGCCGCCCCAGCGCCACCGCGGATCCCGATGAGAACCTAGATCCGTACACAACTGTCAAGGAAACGACTAAGTCGAAGTCCAATTCGTCCAACAAGTCGCTGGCCCGCTTTTAGCGACAATAGAAGATCTGTGCCCGCACCTCGACCTGTGGTTATCCGCGCGAACGACAACCTGCAAAAATGATATTAGAGACTGCAAGTATTTCAAAGAAGCTGTTGAAGCCGGCCGCGTTGTTCTTCCACATGAGGACAATCAGGCCCCTATCACCCACTTCTTATTCCACAACACATCAAGGGAAAGTTCCACCTACCAATCCTTGCCACGTAGCTCAAGATCGAGCTCTACTGGGATAAATGATGAAAACTCTTCATCCACTATGGACAAGCGACAACGGTGTATCCGTGACTTTTTACTACCATTTTTACTGAGGAGGAGTTGGACGAGTACGAGCATTTGCTGGTACAATTCCAGGCGGGTAACTTTCTTCCAGACAGATTTATTGAGCACAAGTCTACTATTCGGTTATTTGTTTTTCTCAATAAAGCTTGTTCAA